GACATGACTTTTTAGAGAATGAGCTTGGAGTAAGCAGTAGACACAGAGAATTGGTTGTTTTTAGCACCATCCCAACACCATCTATCTTTAAGTTCAGGGTTAAGGGAGTTAATGGCCAAGATGGCTTTACTGTCAGAATCAGAAAAAGCAGCTTTGGATTAAGGATTTATTCCATCTGCATGTACCAGGCAAAATGAGGTCTTGTAACCAGATAAGGGCAGAGTTGTTTGAGGAGATAGACTTAGGCACACCAGAAGGAATGCTAGGGATCCAGGGGTCAGAGAAAATTTTAGTATTCATCCCATCTCTCACTTCTCTTCTAAAACAACTTCTGTATTTGTCTTTGGTAGACATCCAACAATTCCACATCCATGAACCAGAGTTGGCTTTGCAAGCATCTAGAACAGAACAATTTGGGAAGTATCTTTCTTTGAGAATTTTGCTCACCAGAGAGTTAGGTTTTGATAGGACACTCCAAATCTGCTTGAGTATCATGGAATCATTAAAGAGTTTAATGTCATGGAAACCAAGTCCCCCATATTCTTTAGGAACAGTCACTTTGTGCCAAGATTTCCAGTGAATCCCCTTAAGCTGATCAGAACTAGAACTCCACCAGAATTTAGCACTCATCGTTGAAATTTTCTTGCAAATACCAATGGGAAGAGAGAAACAAGACATAATGAAGACTGGAAGAGCATTGATAACAGAATTTAGTAGCACCTCTTTACCAGCAGGAGAAAGAAGGTTTGAACTCCAACTTTTCAGTCTTTGTTGAACTCTTTCAAGAACAAAGCCAAAGGCTTCATGTTTGGATTTCCCAATACCAAGTGGCATGCCTAGGTATCTTGATGATCTGTGGGAGGAGATGCCATCCAAAGACAAACAGATATCCCTTTGCAAAGTGAGAGGAGTGTTTTTGCTGAAGAAAATTGAGGATTTTTGGAGATTCACATGCTGGCTAGTGAAGACATGGTATATGTGAAGAATGTTAAGAAGTCTGTGAGGGTGAAGACAGTTGGCTTCACAAAAGATCAACGTGTCATCGACAAAAAGCAGATGAGTGAGAGGGGTGCCTCCTCTAGTGATTCTGAGACCATTGAATTTGTTTGATTGAACTTCAGCTGCAATGAGTCTGGAAAGAGCCTCAATAACCACAATGAAGAGGTAGGGGAATAAGGGATCCCCTTGCCTCACCCCTCTAGAGGGAGTAATGAATCCAACTACTCCGCCATTAAGGTTGAAGGAGCAAGCAGAGGTAGAGATGCAAGCATGAATCCATTTGACAAAAGAAGGGTGGAATCCCATTTTCAGAAGAATGTTGATAATGCTGTGCCATTCCAACTTGTCAAATGCTTTAACCATATCCAGTTTGAGAGCCATATATGACTTACCCCCTGATTTGTGTCTATTGAGAAGTGGATAGCTTCTTGAGCCAATATGATATTGTCAAGCAATTGTCTTTCAGGGATGAAAGCAGACTGGCTATGCCTAATGCAAGAGCTGAGGCAAGTTTTGAGCCTTGAAGCCAATATATTTTTGAGATTATTTTATAAGAGACTCCACACAAGCTGATAGGTCGAATATGACTCAGAGAGGTTGGGTTGATGCATTTAGGCACAAGAATAATCAAGGTAAGATTCCAGCTTTTGAGAATCATACCAGAGTTGAAGAAGCTGATGATGGCTTTGCAGAGATCCTCTTTAATAGTTGGCCAGAAATGTTGAAAAAAAAAAGAGGGGGTTAACCATCTTCCCCTGGTGCTTTACAGGGGCTCATGTTGAAAAGGGCACTCTTTATTTCTTCTTCATCCACAGAGGCAGTAAGCTGAGAATTTAAATCAGGGGAGATGGTTTGAGGGATAAGATCAAGGATTCGAGCATCCCCTTTGAATCCATCTGTGGAAAAGAGTTGAGAATAGAAATCAACCACATAGTTTTAAATCTCTTCATCAGTTTTCCTTGCAACATTGTTATTGTCCACCAATCTGGAGATAGCATTGGTTTTCCTTCTTTGGATTGTGAGAGCATGGAAGAATTTCGAGTTCTGGTCACCTTCTTTAAGCCACTGGTTTCTAGCTTTCTGCCTCCAAAATTACTCCTCAGAGATATAAGCTTCATCTAGTTCTTTTTTGATTTTGTTCCATTCATCCCAGTTCAAATTGTTGCTCTGTTGCCTCATTTCTTCAAGATGTAATGTTAGCTTCTCAATAGTTCCACTGTTGTTGAGCTTTAAAGCTTGGCTCCATTTTAGCAGGGCAACTCTAGTGGCTTTGAGCTTTGCTCGAACAGCAAACATGGGTGTACCTTCATTAGGAGAAGACCATACTGCTTTCACCGTGTCTTCAATGCCTTACATAGCTAACCATCTTTTGTCAATAATAAACCGCCTTTTTTTTTTGCTGGGAATGTTGGGGTCAGTGTTTAGGATGAGCATAGTGTGGTCAGAGGCACTCTTGGTGAGACTGGTGACAATAGCATTTGCATTAGAGGATAGCCATTGGAAAGAGCCAAAAACCCTGTCGAGTTTTTCTTCAATGTAGGCGTCGTGACTTCTAAAGTTACACCAGGTAAAGGATGCCCCTTGAATGGAACTTCATTCATTCCCATGGCAGAAATGCAATTGTTGAAATCACAGTAGCTAGAAGATGGACAAGTTCTGCCCCCAGTCTTATCAGAATCACAGCAAATTTCATTCCAATCGCCCCCAATAGCCCAGTCTGGTCCCCATCAAGATTTAGATTAAAGAAGATATTCCCACTGTTGAATTCTGACTTGCTTATTAGTACTGGCATAGACAAGGATAAGCTAAGAGGATATGGGGTCTTGCTGGGATTTCCTGTATTCAACTTCAAAACAAAACTGTGTGCTGGAGATGTTTATAACAACAACCTCTGAATCCCACATCAAAAGAAGGCCACCACTGAGGCCTTGAGGTTCCACACAATCCCAACGATTTTGAAAGCCAAGTTTGTTACAAACAGTAGTAGAGAATTTTTTATTTTTTCTAGTTTCTGACAAAAAGACAAAACTTGGGTGATGGGCTCTAAGAGCCTCCCTCACTTGGGGAACTATAGAGGGCCCACCCAAACCTCTACAGTTCCACATGAGAACTCTCATTGGTCACCACGGGGCCAGTTGAGGCTGGCTACCACCACCTTACCATCAGAAGATTTGAGTTTTTTACCTTCTTGTTCTCTGTCACCAGAAGAGGTGTCTTCAAATTCTAGAAAATCCTCCAGTTTCCTTTATCTATGAGAGGTTGTCTGAGTAGCCTCTGGAATGAGTAAACCTTTGCTTGATTTGGGTTCTGTCTCTGACTTTCTTTGAATGATGGTTCTCTTCCAGGACTTTTGAAGAGGGGATTTGTTGTTGTTTGAAGGACCTGTACTTGGAGAGATTTCAATAGGAATGTCCACAAATGGTTGATCATCTACCGGGGCCATAGCAGAGTCATGTGCAGCTGGAAGGAGTTGGACAAATGGAAGGGCTTCTTGCTGGTTAGGTATATCCTCATTACCCAGATGCGTAGGTATGTCGGCTGTTTTCGGCTCCATAAGAATAGCCTCTCCTTCATTATGAGGGGTGTGAATTTGGTTTGGAGCTGCTGAAGAATTGGCAGAAGGAGTTGCAATAGATTCCTTTAGCGGAGAGGTGGGATTGTCCTTCTCCTTAGACAGAGACGAGATAGGAGAGGATAGGGACCATCTAGAAGAACTGATGCCGAGGTAGGAAATAGCTTTCAGTGGCTCTCATCCATTCCCCAAATTGTCCTTTATTTTGACAGCCATTAGTGATATCCTTTTCTCTTGAGCTGCAGAATCTGTCAAGATGCCCTAGCTTACCACAGTAATAGCAAAGGCTGACGAGTTTTTCATACTGAAATGTTACCCCAATTAGCTGATCCTGGAATTTGATGCTAGTGCCTCTGGGGAGTGGAGCATTAAGATCGACTAAGACCAGGAGCTTGAGGAAGTTACCTTTAGTACCACCAGATTTTATAACTTTGACATTTTTAACTTGCTTGAAAATACTTCCAATTTTAAGACCAACATCTGTAGTTAACCATTGAAGGGGTGTACGATGAACATGAACTCAGAGGTTGAGCTCTGAGAAGCACTGGTTGTCTGAGTTTAACCCCGCTTTCCATTCATGAAGGATAAGGTATTGATTGTCAAATATCCAGTTGATGCCTGATGCTACTTTCAGCTTGTCAGAGTCCAATCCGAAAATGAATTGGAAGAAACTAGGACTTAATTCCCTAATTTCTAACGTCCCTTCAATTTGCCATATGGACGTCATAGTACGCTTCAATCCTAGAAGGCTTGCTTTGCGTTCACCCACAATTTTACCCATAAGGCTGCAATTGCATTCTTCAAGACTTGTCTGAACATCTATAACACCTAATTTAATAATGCTAGCTTCAGGATGAGACAACGATACCTTCTTGAGTCGTCAGCCAAGCTCTTCTTCTAGCCCTTCAGAAATTGGGGGTTTAGGGTCTGGATCTTCCATTATCAAACTCTTCAAGGAAACTAATGCAAAAGAGAGAACCAAAGATAGAAGAGGGGAAGGAGAGTGAAAAGAAAGGGGAAAAAAGGAACGATTCACACCGTGAAAATTCGATTCCAAAGAAGGAGAATTCGTCTCTCAGCCTGAGAGAATTATTTTACTATAGTTGACAATAGTTTGACCTGCAATTTTAAAAATTAAAGTGCACCAAAACATAAAAAAAGTAGGACAATATATATGTAGACATATAATTTTAAAAATTAAGTTTCACGCAAAAGGATAAAAAGCAAATCTTAAATATCATTAAAAAAAATTTGTAATTAAGTCAAATTATTTAAACAAAGAGTCAAATTTTCACTTTCATATTAAACATCAACCTCATTAAATATATGTAGATTAATACATTCAATTTGTATCAAAATTACTAGTATAAATACCCCCATATTGAGTTAATGAAAATCACCACCTTCACAACAATATCTCTCTTTTAACATGGGAATCACTCTTGCCAAAAGCCTCCTCATCTCCTACTTTTGCCTTGTCTTGCTATTTCATTTCGCCTACACTCCACCGCTACCCGGTCAAGGCGAACCAGAGCCATTCCACCCGTCTAGATATCAAGTTCGGATCACGAATCTCATCCAACGCCCTTCTTTGACATTCCGTTGCCAGTCAAAGGACGATGACCTCGGATACCACACGCTCAATTTCGGGCAAAACTACCATTGGGAATTCAAACTCAATATCTGGTCATCAACTCTCTTCTTCTGCCATTTCTATTGGAATGGCAAACAACAGGTTTTCGATGTCTTCAACGGCCGTAAAGATCATTTTACCGTGATCGAATGGGTGGTGAAAGAAGACGGCTTCTATAAGGTGGCCGGAAAAGCGAATGGGGAGGACAAGGATTTAGGGAAGCCTTACTCTTGGAGTTAGATTGATCATTTTCATAGTATATATGTTTAGTGGCATTATATTTATATTCTTCATAGCTTTCGAGCAAGCAATGAGAAAGCGTCATATTCAAGCATTTATATTACCTGCGTTTTCAAGACGAATAATAGTAAGTTGATGGAAACTTTCTAATTTTGTGTTCTTCATTTGGAAATTCATAAAATTAAGGATAATCGCTTTCATATTAATGAGCTCAGCGAAAAGATTTTATTTGGTTAATTTGCATAGTTCTTGTAAGGTCACAAGGTGTAATCCCTCCCTATATATTAATTCAAAACGTGTTGAGATTTAGGTGGCAGATTTTAACGCTTCGGGTGCTGACATGGCGAAAATCTATGCTTCGTGATGTTGCTTTTATAATATTATTGCTCTGTAGGTCGATTTGGTATTAGACATAAATAACTTTACACATATATTCATTACCCAACACCCACCCATGTTGTACATGAGTATTAGTACTAGTATTTGGTATAATTAAGAAGTGAATAATTTTATTATTTTTAATATCCATCGTAAATAAAATAGTCAATCTGTTCATCTGATAATGATATGATATATTCAGTTCCGCTCCGTCGTAAATATATATTTATATATATTTATAATGATAATGATATAATCCATCGTAAATATATATTTATGTATTAATTATACTTTATAAAATAGTTAGTGTTTTTTTTATTGTCATATACTACAAAAATAAATGTTGATATGATAATGATATAAGATAATCAATCAGGCTTTGGTCTCGTAATTTATTTATTTATTTTATTTTTTTATATGTCCACTATTAGTTATTCATTAATAATTCATGTACGACTACAAACTTAGTGTGTTTACATTTGTTCAGTATGTATTTATTGCAGTACACGTGTCAATATATTATTTGTGGTTAACTATGGATGGCTCTATAAAGCGAGTCATCCGATGACTCTACAACAAAACCGATACCACTATATATATATCATCATTATGGTAAATGAAAAAGTTATGCCAATTACAATTATGTTTCAATAATACTATGAAACAAATCTTAGGGATTAAATATTCAAATGATTAGCATTCTCTATTACCATTGATCTACCACAACAATAGGTCCTTTTTCCATTACTACTTGTCTTGCATTCGATTTGTGTAAAAAAAACCGATGCACGATCAAAGAAAATTTAGTTTGCATTTGAAATTAAAAAAAAAAAATTATCATAAAATATTAAAAATCATAATACAATATCATTTGGTTTTACATATTTGATAGAAAAATTATAAATTATTGAACCGAACACTGCACAAGATGTTTATTGGTTTGAGATCACGGCCGATTAAGTTGATACATAACACATTTTCATACTTTATCATTTGTCATGAGTAGATTATAATTTACTTTCAATTAAAAATATTAATTTGTGCATATTAAGACTGTAAGACAAATAAAAAATGTTGTGTACAGAGAGATATTTAATAATATGTAATTTTTTTTTTTTATTTCAAGTTGATTAATGTTTTTTATTCATGAAATAATAATAATAATAATAATAATAATAATAATAATAATGTGCAAATAATTTTAAAATTGTTTAATCCATGCATCACACGAGTTGTGTAATAGTATCTAATTCAAACGTTTTGAGTATGTACTTTTTGAGATTTGGTTTACTTCGGATAGAAGGTAATTAAGTTATTGTAAACTATGGTGTTTTATTTTTATTCTCACATAAATTGGTACATTATTACTATATTCTAATGAAATAAGCAGGTGAAAATAGATTTTTACTATTTGCAAAATATTAAAAAACTCAATTATCAAATATCACATTTAAAAGTTATAAAATATTAGTTGAAAGAATACACCTTAGACATATTAATCAACCATTAAATTACTATGTATTGTAAAATGATAAATAAAAAATACTATTTATTATCTTATTTTATTTAATTATAATATACTATATTTTAATAAAAAAATGACATCATATCCTAATTGTGTTTATTTTTAAATACACATTACTTATTACGTATTCATCAAGTTTTTACAATTTCCGTTTTTCTTTTTCTCCATTTTTTTTTTTTACTTTACTATAAATAAGGCATGGGACTATAGTTATTCCCCCAGCTAGGTTATATCTACCATTCGAAATAGAAAGCAAAAATAGATAGAAAAAGTATATATCATGGGCGGATATCGGTTCAAGCCCCGCGACGGCGAATGCTGTGAGTTTCTCCTTGGGTTCGTCAAAGGGAATCCTCTTCCCTCCCACGGCTTCATCTCCATAGTCGACCTCTACGGCCAAACGGAGCCTTGGGAGCTGTTCGAAGATTCCCAGGTAAAAGACGGTAACTGTCGTTATTTCTTCACCAAACTCAAGAAAGTCGGCGCCAAGAAGGGAAGAAGTTACCAGCGCTACTCGAGGAACGTCGGGGCCGGCTGGAATTGGTCCAACAAAGGCCAGAAGTCTGACATCATCGGCCCCAAGGGCAACATCATCGGCCACGCCCGAACCTTCCGCTACCAGCTGAGAAACTCGGACAATGTGGGGCCCACGCACGGCGAGTGGGCCATGAAGGAGTACTCCCTTCCCGACTCAACGTCTCTCAGGGTTGAAGAGGACCGGCGGGACTACGTTCTGTGCGTACTCAAGAGGAAGAAGGAGAAGACCACAACAACTACAAGTACAGGAGGTGGTGTTGTCCAACCCGTCGAAGCAGATTTGAGCTACCTAATGGCCACGCTGGCACCCACGTCACATGTCGGGGGTGATGGTGGTCATGTGGGGTCTCTTGACTATCCGGCAACAGCGATAGGTGGCGAGGTCATATGTCCGTCGAGTTTGCCGAGACTTCAGGATATTGAGAGTTGGCTGACGAGTAATGACGATGAGGTTTTGGAGGGCGATTCTTTTGACTTCAGAGACGCGGATAATTGGTTGCAGGCGAATGGGTTCCGTTGGTCGAGTGATTTGCCGATAATTGCTAGCTAGGTGTCCTTTCTTGTTTTCGATTATTGGGGTACTCTTTTTCCCGGTCGGAGGTTTTTCCCACACGGGTTTTACTTCGATCGGGTTTTAACGAGGCCCCGCTTCGCGCCATCTGGCCGGCGTGTTGTGGCCAGACCCTTCTTGTTAAAAAGAAAGCAAGGGGAAATGAAACTGTATTCTTTAATTGTAGAAAAAGTGTGTATTTGAACTTAATTTTCATTTTTTTATGTTCTTTAAGCCAACTTCACAATCAAATTATTTCTGGTGTTCATTGAGATCAACATGATTTTAGAACATGTGCAAGGATTGTAGTATTGGTAACTTTAATTTCAAAAGCACCTTCATTTTCTACTGTTAATTTGATTAATGCTTCTTGTCTCTTTAGCAAATTGATTATTTGATAGTCATTGTCGTGCATGATTTATTGCCACATAGGATTCCGAAGCGTGAGAATCTACCATTAAAGGATATATATAAGCATTCTTTAGCAATGCACAGGTCTTTTCATGTAA